ACCCTTTAGACCTTTTGCACACTGCTCAATTTCTCTTTCATACATTTTATCCAGCAATTTGCCTGCGACATCTGCTCTGTTGTGTGGACTGTATCCTGGTCTTAATGACTGAACCATGTTCATGAAGTGTGGGTTCTCAATCATACGGAAAGGAGAGTTTGTTTCATAAACAAACCGGGCAATGTTTCATCAATTACCTCTTTTTGTAATGTGCTGGTTCTCATCACAATCTTATCTATGGTTGTTTCTGGATGATGGAGATTTTTTTTTGTTTTTGCTACAGGTGATATACTGTGGCTAGGTGACATACGTGACTGAAACACTATCATTGGCAGATAACTCTGAAACTATAGAAAAATGATGGTGATCTTGAAGGCGGATAGTCTTCAGAACCCTATATGTTGAGGATGGATTCTCCTAAACAAAATAAGTCAATGCAGTTATTTAATTATTATTACCATACTGCTCATTTAGTATTACTCATTGCATTCACTGACACTCAGCACTACTTTAAAGGTGAAAGTGTAAAAGGAAGATCTGCCCATTTCAGCTATTTATTTTTTATCACAACTGCATCTAAAATGGTAGTACCATAGAGTAACTACTATATTTTTTCCTCAAGCATGAGAATTCCAGAGTAGGTCAGAAGGAAGACAGTCAGTCCTTAAGAAAGAAGTATGAAATAAGAAAGTTTACCAACCTGAAAATCCTGAATGTTCAGATATTGGGCCAAAAGAAATCTGATGAGGTTCAATAAGGATAAGTGCAGGGTCCTGCACTTAGGACGGAAGAACCCAATGCACAGCTACAGACTAGGGACCGAATGGCTAGGCAGCAGTTCTGCGGAAAAGGACCTAGGGGTGACAGTGGATGAGAAGCTGGATATGAGTCAGCAGTGTGCCCTTGTTGCCAAGAAGGCCAATGGCATTTTGGGATGTATAAGTAGGGGCATAGCGAGCAGATCGAGGGACGTGATCATTCCCCTCTATTCGACATTGGTGAGGCCTCATCTGGAGTACTGTGTCCAGTTTTGGGCCCCACACTTCAAGAAGGATGTGGATAAATTGGAGAGAGTCCAGCGAAGGGCAACAAAAATGATTAGGGGTCTGGAACACATGAGTTATGAGGAGAGGCTGAGGGAGCTGGGATTGTTTAGCCTGCAGAAGAGAAGAATGAGGGGGGATTTGATAGCTGCTTACAACTACCTGAAAGGGGGTTCCAAAGAGGATGGCTCTGGACTGTTCTCAATGGTAGCAGATGACAGAACGAGGAGTAATGGTCTCAAGCTGCAGTGGGGGAGGTTTAGATTGGATATTAGGAAAAACTTTTTCACTAAGAGGGTGGTGAAACACTGGAATGCGTTACCTAGGGAGGTGGTAGAATCTCCTTCCTTAGAGGTTTTTAAGGTCAGGCTTGACAAAGCCCTGGCTGGGATGATTTAACTGGGAATTGGTCCTGCTTCGAGCAGGGGGTTGGACTTGATGACCTTCTGGGGTCCCTTCCAACCCTTATATTCTATGATTCTATGATTCTATATGTTCCTTTCATCATCTTCAACGAAGCTTCCTCCTGAGAAGGAACACTTCCTTATAATGTTTCACTCAGGCAACCAGGCCTTGCATTTCTTTGTTGCCCTGTTTGCATTTTGCACACATGCCTGTCTTACCCACAGGTAGAGGAACTTCATTAAAATATTCCCAAACTGGATCTCTTTTACGGCCTGCTGCCATTATAGGTTTTCTCTTCTAGTGAGAGAATGGTATGGTAGATCTCAAATCAATGAAGGCTACACTCAGAAAGACCTCAAGACTTCTGGAATACGCTGCTCAAACAGTTCCACTTTTATTTCTACTGCCTGTCCCTCCCTTCTCACATTTATCTCCAGACGACTTCTCCTTGTCGAGATCTATTCCACCCCCAACAATCTTCCATTCATTGAACTTTCTGTAACTTTTCACTTTTACAGAGAGATAAGGGATTGACTCTGTGTACACAAATTTGCAGAGGAACAATAGAGTTGAGGTGTGTTATTTCTCACCTCTATTTTATTTATTTATTTATTTATTTTAAAAAATGTTTGCTGTTATCTTTGGAGACACAAGTCCACTGTTTGAGAACTGCAAAACTAATCATCTCTGATCATATCTTCTAGACTGAGTCCCATTGAGTATATAGAAAGATTAACCTAAATAATCTATACAGAAGCCCCTGGAACACCGTAAGATTGGGTCCCTAATCCATGAACTGTTGGAACTCATTTACAAAACTTTTCTTAAACATTACATGAATATATTGTCTCCTACTATAGAATTAGAATTTATAATCCTTATTCCATTATGAGATCTGAGCTATAATGTATCTTAATTAAAACTATCTTTAGATAGGTTTTTTCCTCAAAAAGCATTTTGTCAAAAAAATTCATTATTTTTTTTTAAATCATTGATTTGTTTATCCACCTTGCTGAAGGAGATGAATATAGTCTGCAAAATGAGAAGTGTGAACTGCTCCATTCATGTCAGCGGGTGTTCTCATCTCCCCTTCACTGTCCGGGAGAGTTTTTGATATGGGTCAAGCATGCCCATTCTCGTCTCCTCACACGAGTGTCAGTAGTGTGTTCTTGGTACATGCTTCAAACATACCTGTTCTAAACTCCCCGTACAGAGGGCAGAGCTTCCCCAGATACTAGCTCAGGTGGGGTGGTGGTAGGGAGTGGGGCTTGACCCTCAAATAAGGCAAGCTCTGTTCCAGAACCCGGCTCACAGAAGGTGTGCGGTTAGACCCCCATAATTTGGCAAGTACCCCCCCTCCCCAAGATCCCAGCTCACATGGTGGAAGGGAGAGGGGCTCAGATCCCACCCCCGAAAGATAAGCTCCCTCCAGAAGCTGGGGCACATGGGGGGGTCAGACACCCATAGATGGGCAGGAATCCCCCAGATCCTGGTGCACATAAAGAGAGGCAGGGAGCAGAGCTCAGATACCTCCAGAGAGACCTGGGCGTTCATCCCAGCTCACCAGGTGGGTCAGGGAGACTGTCTCAGACCCCCTAGATGGGCAAGAGGCCCCAGATCCTGGCACACATGGTGGGATAAGGATCTGGGGGATCTGAGCCCCTCTCCCTATGCACGTGTACACTGAAGGGGTGAATGTGGGGTCCTGTCCCTATTCTCCCCCAGCTCCCTGCCACTTATCCTCATGGGTCCTTCACCTGATCCCCCAACTCCTCTAATGTCCTCTATCACCATTTATCCCTGGCCCCTTGATGCAGTCCCAAAACCCTGACTCTTCCACTCCCCATTGCACCATCCCCTAAAATGCCCTGCTCCTGCAGGCAACTGTTCACATGTCTAATTTTTTAATAAAAATACTTTGATTACATTCCTTCAAAATAAACAAAAATATGCCAGCCAACCTTTTCCCAATTTCTGCTCAAGGTGGGGTTTGAATTGAGGTTGGCTGAGTTGGTCAGATTTGAATAACTATTACTACGTATCCCCTTAAGCCATCTAGCTGGTCTAAAATGTTGAGGTCTAGCAGTCCTGTTAACTTATCTGGCTGCACATGCTCACTATAATTAAGGCTACGTTTTAGTCACAGGCAATTTTAGTAAGTCACAGGCAGTAAACAAAAATTAACGGCCCGTGACCTGTCCATGACTTTTACTGTATACCCCTGACTAAAACTTGGGGGATAGGGGGGCCCTTGGGGGGTACCGCAGGTGCACAGGGGGGCGCCACAGATGCTCGGGGGGAGGGTTGGCGGGGCTGGGGCTGGGAACCGCTGCCAATGGGAGCTACAGGGGTGGTGCCTGCCGGCAGAGGCAGCACATGGAGCTAGGAGCTGTGGGAAGGGAGTTCCTGTAGCCCTTCCGGGGAGCCCGTCCTGGGAAAGCAGTGCCCTGCACTCCAGCCCTGAGTACCCCCACACCCAAACTCTTGCTGCTGGGGGTTGTGAGACTGCCCCAGCAGCAGCTGGTGTGCCTGGCCCAAGGGCTGCCTGAACGGCTCAGGCAGCCTCTGGGCCTGGCACACCAGCCGCTGCAGAGGTCACAGAAAGTCATGGAATCTGTGACATACAAGGATCCTTAACTGTAGGATTAGGCACGTGAATAGGTCCTGAAGAAGAGCTCTGTGGAGCTCAGAAGCTTTTCTCGTGAACGGCAATTGGTCCAATAAAAGGTATTACCTCACCCACCATGACTCTCATACTTAACTTTGGAATTTGGTTTTGTTATGGATTTACTGACTTTAATCATGAATATTTCAAAGCACTAAAGAGTATGATTCAACTATCTGCTAAAAGTATTAAAAGAAACCTTAATTTTATCTTGATACCAGAGCACACAAAACCCTTTTGACTGTTTCCTGTGACTTCTATGTATTTATACCTTAAAGCCAATTGTCCTTTCAAGATTCCCAATAAAGCAGGGTGCATACTACAGAGCTGATTATCTTCCATGTAGATTAATTTCATGAAATGTAATTGGAAAATATTAAGTCCAGTTCATCCCAGTGACTCTCATTTTAAGATTTCCTTATTCGCACTGGTATTTGAGGTGCCTTTGTAGCTAAGATGAACAAAGTGAAGTTTGAGTACGATCTGTTGAACCCAAATCATTTTTGCAGACTTTTCCCATGATATTTTTAAATAATAAAAAAAGTACTTGATAATTCACAATATCACAGTATAGCACATAAGAACCATTAACTTAGAACTTGTATTATCATGATGTGTATGGAGCAGGTTGTGCTTGGCTGTCAAATATAATAGAGCAGAATCCCGTTTATCCAATCTAATTGGGACCAGGACCAGATCTGATCATCAAAAATCTGGAGAATGGGAAAGTGTGTTGCTGCAGCAGCATCTAGTGGCCACAAGAGAGATTGCCCACTTCTGGCCCTGGAGTCCTGATCAGTTAATGTGGAGAGCCTAACAGAGGGTCAGATAAATGAGATTCTAATTCTACTGTATTTTAATGCTTAATTTAATTCCATCTCTTAAAGGGCTGGAGAAAATTGAACAGCTACAAAATCATGAAAATGAAGACATCTACAAACTGGCTTATGAGATCATTGATCAGTTCTTCTCTTCAGATGATGTAAGTATCTAGTAGCAGTGTAATCTATTCTGCTTTCAATCATATTTAATCTTTTCTTACAAACATGGTTAGGGAAATAATTACAACAGTTCTTAAATCTGTGTGAGCGTTATAGCATTATTTGTGGTTGTCTCTGAGTAACATAGTGTCAGGTTGTGCATTTTTATTATTTTGCTACCAAAGAACATCCTCCCAAAGCTGCAGTATTCTCTCACGTGATACAAATAAATGATTCATGCTCTAAAACAAAACATCTTACTAAAATTATAATCCTTTCTGTCTTTATCAATAAAATAGACTAAAAAGAAAGACATTAATATTGACATCAAGAAAAACAAAATTGGTAGCACCAAATTAGCAGGCTCTATAACTTCAAAAATCCCTGTTTAACTTTATTCAGCAGCCATTTAAAAAGTGAAATCACAGGCTAGAATTAGAGAGTAGGGTATATGAAATGTCTGATACTCACCTCATATAACAAAAACCAGTACATGAACACTGTTTAATCCAGATTCATTTGGACAGCCAAAGTAATACTAACTTACACACACACATACTAAAACAGCATTAGAACTTCAAAAATACCAAAGGCATTGCTGGGTAGTTCAGTCATCTTGAGAATAGTCTGGTGGTGGTCTCATTTTAGAAGTATTCAAATATGTGCCGCTGTCTGTGTGTCCACACTACCATTTTTAGTGTGCTAACTGAAGCAGAACTAGCACGTCTATCTATCCGGGCTGCCCTCTCAATTTTGATTCTTCTTTTCTTGTCCGAATAGTGTTGCTACACCCTCTCTGTCATTCAGTTTGTAATTCATATTTGAATTCATAAAGTGCTTCGGGGTGATTCAGGGTGAAAGGTATGTAAATATAGTATTGCTGATTGTGAGCCATATGGCGTCAGACTACTACAAGTAGGCTACATCAGCATCTATAGTTTAGCTTTATCTATTGTTTAAAAAACTCATCTAGTCTTATAAGCGTTAGAATCGTTCTGTGATGTAAAACTTGTTTCAACTAGTATTTGTCCTCTCTGTACCCATTCAAAGTACTTTTTTGTTTTTTTAATAGATTGATGAAGATCCTAGCCTTGTTCCAGAGGCAATACAAGGTGGAACATTTGGTTTCAATTCATCTGCCAATGTACCAGCAGAAGGGTTCCAGTTTTAGAGTGATATTTTGGTGGTTAGGTACAATGCAGCACTGAATAAAAAATGGTTTGACCCATCAATCTTGGCTCATGGGATCCGCTGCTGCATTAAATCGGGAAAGAAAATGTGAAGATTTCATTTGGAATCACAGAAAAGCCCAAATGAAGTCAAGATGGCGAGTGGGTGCGAGTGAGAATGAGTGGCAAAATGTAATGAAAAACTTCACTGAATGCTTATTTAGATTGTTCAAAGAAAAAGGGCTACAGGTCAAAGATCTTCAGTGCCTGAGAAGGAACAATGACTTACTAGAGCAATTGGGGGGGAAAATGCAGTACTATTATCATCAAGCTTTGTAAGCATAAAAGAGAATAGGATGCCCATATAAGTCCAAGGAGAATGAGCCCAGGCCTTGCTATGAAGCACCGTGTGAATGGACAACATTGAATGAATGTCTGGACTCAGCTGTGGAGCCAGGCTCATGTTTCAAACCTGGGGCTCTTCACTCATGAAGCAGACTCCTAGTCCTGGAGTGGCGTGTGTACGAGAGTATGGTTGTGATGCTGTATGTGAACGCATGCAAGCTTGATTCGCCTTCAGGGGGCTGATAATAAACCTAGTAAATTATCAAAATGAGTTCATAAGTGTTAACTTACACTGGACACACAAATAAAGACCGGTTTAGCAGCAGACTCTGGTTTACTCCTGCAGCCTGTTTTATTTTATTTTTTCCCTGTTTCTTTTAGTTATTTTTAATTTCTTTCCTGTATGGCTTATTATTAGTTGCTTGTAAAGTCAGAATTTTCAGGAAGGCTTCCCTGTGCATTTGCACCAGATGAATGTTTGATGTTATGAAAAGCTTTCCATATCATCAAAACAAATTTATGTAGATTTTTGCATGAAAAAACATACATTTCTCTCCAAATAGACTGTGTTGCAGTACATAAGTTGCCATAATAGTAGAAGACAGTAAAATGTGGTAATAAATTCATCATCCTTTTCATTTTCAAAGATAACATAATGATCTCTTTGCATGTGGTAATCTACAGCATAGCTCATTTTTAGATTTTGTTGAGTCCTGTAACCAAATGTTTCTTTTGTGGTAGAATACCGTGCTGTTCAATGTTACTTGTTTTCAAACTTTGTTTTCTATGAAAATGATATGGAAACTTCTAAAAATGAAATTTGGTGCATATGTACTGCTGAATAAAGACCGAAGAAGAGGTGTGAATAGATGTACAAATCCAATTCCTGGTTTGAATACCTTTAATAATATGCCTAATCTGTCCAATTGTTTTAGACTCTTTTTATCTTAGATGTAGGCAGCCATGAACAATCTATTTTGAGCCACTTTAGAGAGAAAACTTTGTATTTTTAAAACTTGCATAAAAAACATGCAAGTGTTTTTATAATTGGAGTAATGCCTCAGTTTTGAGGTTCTGCACACTAAATTAAAGGTGACATTACAAATTTATACAAAAAGGAGAACTCTTTATAAGGTGGCTCATTGTAGGAAATGCTGTGCCTTCCCCTTTGAGCACAAGTGTTGCATGAACAACAGTTTGCTATAATAAAACATACCGGATTAGTCACCATTAGCATCTATATCTACCTTGTGTTTTAAAATCAACTGGCAATTCTGAAACACTGTAGAATGGATAAAGATTATTTTGTGATCATAACTCTTTGTTGGACTAGAGTATTTTTACAGCATTCCTTGTCATCAGAAACATGGTTAAAGTTTAAAACTAGAAGCAGCAGAAAACTAGCTTGTGAAATTTATCTAAGTAGAGTGCAGGCTAGGCTGTCTTGGGGAAATAAACGTTAAACCTTTAAAACAGCATTGTATTATTTGGTGTGTGTCTTTTTGTATAAACTTGAATTGTAGTGAAGAAGTTAAAAAGCATTTGTGTACACAAGCAGGCAAAAAATAGTTTAACAAAATGTTCATATAAACTGTTACTTCCATACCCTTTTAACCCTTTAATGTGTTTCAGACATACCTCTCAACCTGCCAAAGGCCCAAATATGGGATGCAATATGAGAGACAGACCCAAAGAGAAGAACAGGAACTGTTATTCATGTAGGGAATTTAAGACTGTAAATAGCTTTTTGCAACTTCACTTCCCTGTTTCTTTATATCTAATAAAAATAATATGCAATAATAAGTGAGAAGACACAATTTGTATAGAACATAAATAGGTTCAGGACTAAAATGAGTGATGCTTGAAATGAGGGACATTTCAGAGGAAGTTATGGCTTCAGAACCGACATAAGAGAGTTGATTACTTTCATGCATTATGTAAATCATACAGTACACTGGACCCTCACTAGAACGCAGGGTTTAGGATCGATGTGTGGTACCACATTAATGCGGGGACCGCGTTAAAATGAATTGCAATTAAACTAATTACATTTGGGATCCATGACCGCAACTGCATGTTATGTGAATTTGCGCTATATAGATGCACGTTCTAGCGAGGATCCGGTGTATATTAACTATGTAATTCCATCAGATGTTTTGCTAATATTGAGCAGAATTGCATCTTAAGTAATTATGTTCCACCTATATTCTTACTTTCAATTGCATACCTAAATCTTCCCCAAAAAACACAGTTCACTTGTGAGTTTTCATACAGTCCTTTTCACAAGTAGCTCTAAAATGCTTTACAAAGTAAGGGAAGGCTAGTGTCCTTATAGTTTTACAGATGGAGAAACTGAGGTATAGAATGACTTGCCTAATCTCACACCATGTTGGTAGCAGAACTGCAAGTAGAACCCAGGTTTCCTGACTTGAAGACGAGTACCCTATTCGTTGGACAGTGTGCCTCCCTGGTTTAGTGTTGCAGGTTCAGCATGGTTGCCATATCTTTCCCTTTTGAGGCATCTTCATTGACTGCCTCTTTTCTGTATCATTACATTGGGATTTTTCAAAATCACCTAAATGAGTTCAGATCTTAATAGTGGGACTTGGATGCCTAATTTACTTAAGCACTCTTGAAATCCCACCCTCAGACTTGAAAACATTTTGCTTTTTGTGAAAAACTATACAAATGAACATTTTTCATAAATCTTTAATCTGTAACTTATGACTCAGTGATACAGGAGGACTTTTGGAATTAAAATGTGAAGTTTGTATTTCAAATCAAGTTTACAGAAACTACTATTAAATCTTTGCATTTTTAATATAGTTTGTTAGAAAACTTTTGTATTCCTAATTGTTTAGCTTATACAGTGTAGCAATTTTGGTAAAGAAAGCAAAAACTAAATTATACAGAAGGATTGCTGAATTACAGAGGACTACATTTTCAGAAGTGAGTATTTATATTTGTGCCTGACTTTCTGAAGAAATTACTGACTTTTCATAGCAGTTAATATTTTTGTAGGTCTTGCATGCAGTATTTTTTATTATAAAACTTAAATCTAAAAAGGTCAACTTATTAGAATGTTAATGTGGTTTAATAGATTTAGTCAACTTATAAAAATCAATTGTGTATTAATTGCTCTTGCAAGTTTTTTTTTTTTTCCTAACAGGTTTAAATTTGTAGCACTTACTGTACTTTCTAGACTGCTGAGAACATCAGCCATGAACCGATTTTAAGTAGTTACGGTCCAGGAAAATGTACTTTTAAGTGACAATATTCACGTTTGTGCCCCTGGAGCAAAATATGTTCTAACTAGTACATTAGAGAATAATGGCCATGGTATTATAAAATTGAATGCCTAAAATTAGACTCCTTAGACCACCTAAATAAATGGCTAATAGATCTGACTTCCAAAAGTGCTGAGCATCACTTACGTTAATCAGAGCTACTGGGACCTCAGCAATTTTTAAAATCAGGCCACTTATTTAGGTGTCCAGATACTAATTTAGGATTTTGCCCCATGTCTTTGTACTTGTGTTCTTTTTTTCAATGTTAACTTCACATTAGAAGAGGGTTTCTTGTACGTTCATTTCTCTTCCAGTGTGATATAGAATTACATACTGTATCCTACTATGAAGTGTTTTTTACCCCAGTTATCTTCTATGCTAGAGAAGGTTAGGGAGAAGCAGATAAATATCTGGTGAAATGTTGACTCTTAGCAGTGATTAGGGTATTCAAACAGTGTGGTAAGGCACTACAGTCTTTTGAACAAAATACACTTAATTACTAAGTATAGCTGGATTGCACCTAATTTATTGAATATACTTGTTTTAGCTGAAGCCTTAATAGCCTGTGACTTGAGATGGAGCCATTGTGTGTGCTGTTCTCAGCTTCCTGCCTTTTTAACGGTGATTTATTCTTTATTTAGTTTTGTTTTATTTTTAGTTTCAGCACAGTTGTGGTTGGTGGGGGAGTTACCCACCCTTTTTGCTTTAGGATTCCTATTTTTAGTTCATTAGACCTCCAGGTTATGCCAAAGACCCTGGGGTTTAAGCCCTGCCATATTTACCAGAGGTCTTTTTCTTAAAATGCTGTCAAAATGAAAGGATTGTATGGCATCTAAAGGCAGGTCTCAAAAAGACAGAGAAGCTGGATTGAAGTTCCTTCTAGTAGAACTCTCACTAGCCCCAGTGGCGTCCGCTTCCCACCCTGTCATACATCGTCCCCTAGGCTGCTCCAGTGACTCTTGCAGTTCGAGCAGTACATTCAGAAGCTAAGTCATCCAAGAAGAAGCTTCTTTCCCCAACTGTGGAAAAGACAAAGAGGGGTAAGTTATTCCATAAATCCCACACTGAGATGTCTGTCTCTCTCCAGGAGTACAGCTGAGGCTCTATCTGACTCTGGTACTAAGCTACTGGTTTTGCACAGCTTAAAGGTCTGAAAGGTCTCGTAACACAGGGAGCCGTCAGCCTCAGAACCAACTGATGCCTTGTGGTGCCAGCATGTGCACAGGCCACCTATTCGTGGTCTGGTACCATCACCGTCCCAGCACCAGAGCTGTAACGTCAAAGAAGTTCCTCTCCAAAGCCTCTCTGGTATCACCTCAGCACCAACCCCTTCTCCAGGCTCTGGTGCTGACTCAGACTTTTTGATACTATAGTCCTCTAGCACCCTCCAGATTTCTTTCCCCAGAGGAACTTTTCATACTGGAGGTACTGGAGTCTCCCCTGCTATGGGCCCCTATGAAAGCCCCTTCCCTGATACCATTCAGACACCTGCAACTGCAGTCCCCCAGACTGAACCCCACTCAGGCCTTCAGTACCGGAACATATGTCTGATGCTCCCCCCTTTCAGCCCAGGGGATACTTCTTCAGACTCTGAAGTCTTGCTACAGGATGCTCTTGGCACGATACCATCACACCCTCGTGAACCACTATGCGGAAGATGATCTTCCGGGCCACACCAGATGCCCTAGATCCAGGAGTTGAGTACCCATGGCGATCCTCCCCCTATCTACTGAAATTCCTGGGGTTATGTTGGTGAACAATTTTATAGGCTCCCAGCCAGAAAGAGTCCCCAGTACTTGCTGGTACTACAGCACTCACAGGCACCAACTGACCAATCTTTGGTACATGATCGTCCCCTTGTATGCCTCTTTGACAAGAAGAGGCAGTCAAGAACAGCAGGACCCATGGATTAGAGGGAGCTTACCCCCATCTGTGAAGTCCTCTTCATCTCGAGGCAGTCATGCTTCCACCACCCTCTTACGCTGATGACTTTCAGGCCTTCCAAGACTGCAAGAATGCCTGGCAGAATCTGTCCAGATTCTATTAGAAGAGATCCAGGAGTCTCAACACTCCTTTGTGGACATTTTAAATATCATCCCTCAGGGGAAAATCACCCTTCCAATCAATGAACCTCTGCTTATCGCCTGCTTGCACAGTTTGCAAACACCGGCCACTATCCAGCCCACCTATATTATATTTTGTCTATGGGAATAAACCATTTGTTTTCCCACCTCATTCCCAATTCCCTGATGGTGGTTGCAGCTAATGAAAAAAACACTCCAGATCCTCTCCTATGGTAACAAGTCCAACATTTAGACTGTGGGTGCTCTCTGATTTCAGATAGCAAATTAGCAAGCACTGTTTGCAAAATATGATTTTAACACTTGTTCGAGTTCACACATTTTATTGAACATCTGCCACAGGACCAGAGGGAACAATTTTAGGCTCTCATTTTGAAGGGTCAATTGATATCAAAACCCTCCCTCCAGGCTGCCCTGGAAATGGTTTATAGATCCTTAGCTATGGCAGTGGTTATGAGGAGAGCATCCTGGCTCTAGTTTTCCGGTCACCTGACGGGAGTGCAGAATACAGTTGAAAACTTTCCGTTTGAAGGGCCCAAGCTCTTTAATGCTGAGAGAGACTGCTGAGGGACTCAAAGGCGACCATACGGTCTCTAGGAATTTATGTTCCTGCAACAGACTGTTTAGTAGGTCCAAAACATCACTGCACTCTAGACCATTTCAGTACCATATGCCAAAGACTTTTCCTGGACCGTTTGGCTTTCAGAGGAGACGATCTAGACAGCCAAAAAAAGGGGGGAATACCCCTTTCTACATCATCTGCACCTCCCTCTAATAATCAGTTTTGACATCTCGGTTGATACCTTGCATCTTCAGGCTTCCTACTTTCCTGGATCCTGTGCTGCATGATTCCATCCACCCTTACTTTGGAGACAGATTACCGCACTTCCTCTCGGCCTGGGAACATTGCCTCAGATAAATGGATCTTTGAGTTGATCAATATGGGATATTCCATACACTTCCACACTGTTCCCCCTTCCTCATCCATCTTCAGGCATCTCTCTCATGAACAGCTCTTAACACAAGAAGACCACACTCTCCTACTCTTGGGGATGATCAAAGCGGTTCTCCCACAATTCTTTAGAAGAGGATTCAATTCCAACTATTT